CACTCTTTCATTGTTCTATTTTCCTTATCTCTAAGGACAACCTACTCAAGCAGATAAATACACAAACAAACAAGAAATCCACTGCTTCCCAAACTCCAACGTACTAACTTTCCAGATCAGTTTCTTCTTAGTAATCATCATGATTCTTAAAAATTTTTCTTTGGCTTCCACTTCCTTCTGAAACTTACTAGCGGAATCTGAAGGCAAATTTGTGGGTCATGGTAAACAGCTGAAACACAGTTGATCTATACTCGCCAATGTCAAAATCCTTTTCCCATTTCAAGGCTGAGCTCAAATGTTAGCTCTTCTGTGAAACCATTCCTTCAATTTCTATCTTATCCGTAATAGCTTACTTATTCCTCCAGACTCCCACAAAATATCAACCTACACCTCCGTGGCATAGTGAAAACAATGGTTGTAATAGCCATAGCACGAATGTTTACAGTTGCAGTCAAATCTGCTACACCATAAATTCTTTGTGTGTGTTGAAGATTTCAGAGGATATCAAGGAAAACGGACTAAGTTCACTGACTGGTCTGACAAATCTCCTGGTTGGGCTTTTGAGAAGCTAACTCAGAGATGTAGATACCTGTGCAAGTGATTTATGAAATGCTCTCAGGAGGAATCTATAAGGGAGTAGGGGAGGCAGGAAAGGGAAGAAAAGGGGGACTAAGGAAGACTGTGATTTTTACCTGAAGGCCAGTCTCAGCATGATCCCATGGGGAGCTCTGAAGCAGAAGTTGCGTTCAGGCAAGGGTTTCTGTACCCGTCAGCCATTGGCCCAGGGCGGCCCAGTAGGGACCGAAACTCAAGTTTTTCTGGCATTTGTGGCTCTCTACTCCTATGGGCAACTCCAGCCACCCAAAGGTAGTCCTCTAAAGAAGGTAGTAGGTGCCAGTGTTTAGAAGTAAAGCACGTGGAAACTGGGAGATGAGAGCACAGGTCCAACAAAGGGGCTCAAAAGGATCGGAGTGGAGCACTGATGGTACTCACAACAACTCATAAATCAAGAGCAACACAAAACCAACGATAAGCCTATTGATGTTAGCCAGCGATTATTAAGTGCTTACTGTAGGCCAGCCTTGTTCTAAGCTCTTGGTAATATTAGCTTATTTAATCCTTACAACAGCCTAATGAGGTAGCTAATGTCATTATTTCTGTTTTGTCAAATGAGGAACCTAGATCTATGGAGGCAACTAGTCTAAAGTGACACGAAGACTTCCTGGTGCAACTAAGATTTGAATCAACGAACATAGATGGGTGATTCAACAGCAACGCACTCCAAACCCATGCCACCCACTTTGGCGTGGCTTCTCAGTACAGGAAGCTGTGAAGGGTGGCAGAGCCTTGAGTCATTTGGCCTGGGCTCCTGTCTCGGTAGCTCAGAACAAAACGAGACAACGCATCCAACACAGGGCAGAAAAAAACTGCACGAACTAAATAGTCAGTGTTGTTATTAAAGAAGGGAACAAGACATTGCCACTTTCAAAAAAAAATCTATTTTCTATAAAAGTATCTCTTAGATCTGTAAAAAGCCTTTCTTCTGCTATCCTCTAAATGTTTAAAAGAGCCAGGAAATCAACAGCTTTATTCTTGATAGCTCTGTTGTATATGACACAATTGTTACAGAGAATAAGGAAAGAAGGCAAGGGAAGATAGAGAAAAAGGAAGGAGTGTAATAGATTATTACTAATAGTTATTGAGAATGACAGGAACAAATATTCTGGACAAAGTCCTGTTCATTGTACTTCAGTCTTTCCTGGGATCTGGTTATTACACTGTTTTTTCCTAAACAGGGTGATTTTGAATTCACCTGAGAATGTTATCAATAATTGCTTTGTACCTTGCCCCCCATAAACAATATAACTTTTTGCAGCCCATTAGAAAATCTAGTCACTTTTCATGACTGGACTACCAATGCCAAAAATATTACTGATTTCTTGAAAATCATTAACTGCATTTCATTGCCACCTGAATTCTAAGCACAGAAAAAGTGCAATAATTTTAATCAAAGCCTTTGTTTAAGATTGGCGGAATACCTTGAAATGATGGAAATAAAAATTCTGAGCTCTTCACTATGAAATAAGAATCAATCAAGAATATTTCAATATCTTTCCAATTCTAAGGATCCTAGTTCCTTTAGGCACGTTGAATATTTTTGCAACATGTGAAGATAATCTTATGATGAGTTTTCCCCTCAAGTAAAATAAACATAAGCTTCTGATTGCAGTTTTGGTAGACACGCGATACACAAAAGCTACATGTTGCACAGTAGTAGGCAGTGACTGAGGAGGGAACTCTGTTTATCTTTGCTCCTCTACTCAGAGTTGAGACGTATATATGGGGTTTTTTTTTGTTGTTTTGTTTGTTTGTTTTTGCGGTACGCGGGCCTCTCACTCTTGTGGCCTCTCCCGTTGCGGAGCACAGGCTCCGGACGTGCAGGCTCAGCGGCCGTGGCTCACGGGCGCAGCCGCTCCGCGGCATGTGGGATCTTCCCAGACCGGGGCACGAACCCGTGTTCCCTGCATCGGCAGGCGGACTCTCAACCACTGCGCCACCAGGGAAGCCCTAACCAAATATATTTAACAAGCAGGACAGGACAGGCAGCAACCAAACAGAATGAATGTGGCAACCAATCAGAATGATGCTCTGATCATTCAGAACAGATGACGTAACCAATCAGAATGGATACTGGCTGAAAGACAGATGAGGTCACACCTGGGGATTCAGCTAAATATCAACCCTGCCTACAACTGATGTGAAACTCAACTCTGCCCACATTACTCAACTTTCCTCACACAGAAACTTATTTCAAGAAATTCAGATGATTTCTGGGAAACAATGGGAACTTTTCACTTTCCAGATCCCCTTCCTCTCCCAGCTCTGGTCAAAGCAAATTCCCACTAAGACTGACCTAAGAAAGGCATTATAAATAAATAGTAGTTAACATTTATTGTGCACTTAAGTACCAGGCACTACACATTATCTTCCTTAATCTTTGCAACAACCCTATAAGATGAGCGCTACTATTATCCCTGTTTTATTGATGAGGAAACCAAGGCATGGAGAATTTGAGTCACTGGTTCAAGGTCACACAACCAGTACATCGCAGAGCTGGTTCTCAAACCTGAGCAGTCCTTCCACTTACCTATGAGTTATGATGTCATTGGCAAATTGACATTCTCATCAACATATTTACAGCTCAATCCCATCCTTCCTTCTAGATAAATGGTAAAGTACCAAAGATGTTTTCTAATATTTGTGCTACTGCCTGCAATCTACGAAGTCACTGACTAACACTCGTCACCAATGTGGTTGCAGTTGCCCCATTTCTGATCTAAATTGCTTCAAACAAACAGAAAGCAGTCAAGGAAGGCAGACAAAAGAACATTACCTTATTCTCTTGTCCTCTACTTTTTTCAAATATTCATCTCTCTTTAGGACTCCCAGGATCATCTCCTTCTCATGATCTAATAAAAATGACAGGTTGATGAACTCTGAGTTCTTAGACATGGTATTTCAGCAGTAGCTCTGAGTAGCAGTGGTTGAATCTTCCAGGTGACTTGATATCCACAATTCTTAAGGTCTCCCTGAACAACTCAGAGTCACTCAGTTGCTTGATGTAGAGAGGCTTTATAAGGTCTCTGAAGAACTGCTGATGGTAGGTAGGGATTCTTCCAGGCAACACAGAAAACAAGCTCCACTGGGATTACATTTCAAGAAAGTCATTATTCTTTTAACTGAAAAGATCTCCAAAGCCTTCGTGGTGGTGTACAGTCCAGTGGCAGCTGAGTTTCCCTAATGATGCTCAACGTTAACCCAGAAAGTTACAGAGCAGGAAACAGATCCGCTGGGACAGAATCCAGAAAACACTGCAAAGGTGGAAAAAACAAAGGAGAGGAAAATTAGGCCATTTTCCTCAGAGCACTTGTAAGAGTGTCTAATTTTTGAAACAGTGATGTACCTAACTCAAAAACCACTTTTTAATCAGTAAACATGCATTTATGAAATACTTACTGTATTTATTACCATCAAGGAGTACTTATATTTAGTTGATTCCAGGTTCTCTATGTCAATTCTGCTTCTTCCATTATAAAGAGCTTTTCCTCTACCAGCCAGATCCCGTTTACCACCCTTGCAGCTGATCCATGGGTCACCGCTTTGGGACTCTAAGAGCACAGTCTGGACTGTCGACACAGGACAGGACCCTTAAGTGGCTCCATCATGCCTTCCCTCCGTCCCTCCCCAAAACTAGGACCAAGACATAAAAAAGCATTGCCGGCAAAACAAGCATGAATCAGCGCTGCACATATCAACCTAAATGTCTCTCACAAACGTGTTGAATGAAAAAAAAGTTGCAGAAGAATGCATGCAGAATGATAGCATATGCATGAAGGAAATAAATTTCAAAGACATTACATCTAATTTAGGACCACATACATTTGGAGTATAAATATAAGGAAATTCATGGGGAATTCTGAGAGATGCAATCAGAGAGAACACAGGAACTTCAACGACTGGGTGATGTTTTATTCTCAATACAGGTTTATATCTTACGATGTACATGGTTGTTTATGAGTTAGTCCAGCTCTGTATTAACATACCACCAAATAGATGTTTTAAAACTATCCCTTTGTCACCACAGGCTCACCAGGCCCTCTCCATCATATTAACTCTTGGGCACATTCTTTCACTGGCTTGCTACCTGTATTTTCTCCGCGCATGCCCTTAAGAAAGATGGCTCTTAGTGTGACCTACGGGGTTTTGCGATTTGGCATCATCCCACGACACTGTTCCTCAGCTTCCCTTCAGGTCTCTGAACTACAATCCATATGCAGGTTACACTTGGTTTGGTTGGTTCTAGCCAGGTTTCTAAGGGTAATGAGATATTTACTCAAAGGTTGCTTTGGGACCTCCCACTTACCATAAGGTCAGGCTGACTCAAACTGTCAGATCTGAAAGGATAGGCTCTAGTCCAGGGCCTCTTTAACTTTCCAAAGTCCCCATGTGTTTGTTCTCTACATTGCATAATGAAACCAGAACTTTGCTGAAATGACTCAGAACTGAGCTGCTTCCTGCAGACCCAGAGCTATCCCCCTGGGAGGAAACTGGCTAGGTCTCAGAGAGGGTAGACTCTAAATATACTCCAGTCCTTTCCTCCATCTCCAAAGTTCTAGAGGCTACAGGGCCCAGAGGACCCCAAGACTGACATGAAGAGGAAACAACAAGGTTAAGAGTAAAAGGGGCTCTTCAGAAAGGTTTGGGTTTTTTTTGTTTTGTTTTTCCTTTTTTTTTTAACTTGAAGTATACTTGATTTACAATGTCGTGTTAGGTTCAGGTGTGCAGCACAGTGATGTAGAGTGTGTGTGTGTGTGTGTATTCTTTTTCAGATTCTTTTCACATATAGGTTATTACAAAATATTGAGTAGAGTTCCCTGTGCTACACAGTAGGTCCTTGTTGGTTATCTATTTTATATATAGTAGTGTGTATATGTTCATCCTATCCTCCTAATTAATCCCTCCCCCCGACCCTTCCCCTTTGGTAACTGAACTTATTTGACAGAAATAGACCCACAGACATAGAAAGGTTTGGTTTTTACGTCACTGTCAATTGTGGTCTCTCTCAGATAAAGAGCACAGCTGTTTTTCTAGCCCTTGTGTGTCTCATCTGGTTTCATGCAGAAATAGAAAAAGCACTTGGTAACTCAGTTAATGAACATCTTATCATCACAGCCAGGTTCACTTAAGACATATTTTGTATTTGAAATGTCAGATTTAGAATGTCCTATGTGACTATTCTATAGAATTGTATTTAGAATTTATTTAAAGGGTTGGGAGCTATAAAAATGCTTGACTTGAAGCTTATGGTTTCCCTTGCCTCGGGCTTAAGTTTATGCAAGTCTGCCCTCTAAAAATCCAAGAGTCTACTCATGAGGAGAATAAACAGAGGGGAGTAGTAACACCATGGGGGTAGCACAGGAAGGTGGCAGAGATGATGGGAAATGAAGCATGGATATAAGAAAAATGAAGTTAGTCAGTGAGAGCCTAATTAACAAAATTAGCCCTAAATGGATTTTTACCCATCTATACCTGGATTGCTAGAGATGATTTATAAATGAGTGACCAAGGGGATCAGAAGTAGCTAAAATGTTATCAAGAAAATCAGGATGTCTCCTCCAGAAGCCAGGACCGGACTGTGAGTATAATCGACTAACATGGAATGGACATGATGGTCATCCAGTCCTTCTGGAGAAATACAGGGTGGAGCAGAGGAGACAGTAAGCTTGGCCAGAGAGAGAGGAGTTCCAAGGAGCTAGATGCTAGATCCAGACTCTGACCAGAGCAGAAGCATTTGGGCCTCAAAATGAAAATAACCTATGCATTCCTGGTAGCACACGTTCCATGTTGGGTGATGAGGCTTCAGTCTGACAAGTTTTCATGTCATGAATCACTCAAAGCAGACAACTGTTTCCTCTTGCTTGACTTTTACTTCCTCCTGGACACTTCTGGTTTAAGTTGGCTTCCCCTAGAGCTCTCCCTTCAGGGAATGGATGTCCTGGTCCTGCCAATGGAACCCTCTGTGTCTGCTTTGAACCCATGTCTGATCCGTTCTCTGTATGCTGACCAAATCACATTTCTGAGCCTTTGGAGGACCAGCATCTGGGTTGTGATGAGTTTACTTAAGTATGCACATTTTTTTTTTTTTCCGGCATGTGGGATCTTAGTTCCCCGACCAGGTATTGAACCCGAGCCCCCTGCATTGGAAGCTTGGAGTCTTAACCACTGGACCGCCAGGGAAGTCCCAGTGTGTACCATTTTGGGGTGCCTGTTTTCAGCTAGTTCATGGCCCCTCCTGTTGAATCCCTTATCCACTATGTACACACTTTAATCAAGTGAAAAAATGAGTAAAAATAATCACGAGTGCATTTTATCTAGAGGTGATTCTCACTCTTTTAGTTAAATGTACCCAACACTAGGCAGGAGAGATGAGTTCATTTTTATTTTATTCTTCAAAACCTTCACTTAAACAGATCTCTCTCCTTTAACATTTCAGATACGGATTTTTCCCTCTCTGGCCAGTAGCCTTGCCGAACTAAGCTAAAATATTTAAAAAGATGACAAGATGGTTTGCATGTCATTCTGCCGCCTTTCAGCATAGATAGCTCAGGACAGGTCATTAAGTCTGCTCGGTGCCACACAAGATGCGATAATCAAAACTTCTCACAGCACCACACAAAGACATAAGTTTCTTAAAAAACATCTGTTTTGAGTAACACACACCTAAAATTAATAGAGGGCTGGTATTTTAGTCAAAGGAAAGGGTATATCTGACTATCTCATTATGGGGTACTTGAAATGCAGCTTTAAAAGTAGTGAGCCTTACAAATATAAAATGGGAGTACTTGATATTCTGGATTGGCCAACACATTTCCAAGTCAATGATATAAAAAAAAAAAAAAAGAAGATGATGGAGGAACTGTTGTAGATTAAGAGACCACAGAGCCATATAACCAAATAACTTAACTAAATACAATACATAAACCTTGATTATTTAGATTAGATCCTTTAGAACAAGAGTTATAAAAAACATTCTTAGGACAATGAGGAAATTTGAATATGGGCCGGATATTAGATATTATGAAATTCCTAGCTCTTTTAAGTATGACAATGATATTGTGGTTATTAATAAGAATATTGTTTAAAATGTTTTTACTCTTAGAAGATGCACAATGAAGTATTTAGTTGCTAAGTGTGATATCTGTAACTTATTTTCAAATAATTTCAAAAAAGTATTAACTATAGAGATAAAGCAAATATGGCAAAATGTTAACAACTGCAGAACCCAGTCGGCAAGTCCATGAGTGTTCACTATACTTCTTTCAATATTTCTTTATGTACGAACATTTTCATTAAAAAATTGAAAGGAAACACATGGGGAAAGTGATAATGGTAAATGAAAGCCTTCAAAATTACATTTATGACAACTACACTGTGCGCTATAGACATTATGTGTCCCCTCAAAATTAATATGTTGAAATCTAATCCCCTGTGTGATGGTATTTGGAGGTGGAGCCTTTGGGAGGCAATTAGGTCATGAGAGTGGAGCCCTCATGAATGACAAGAGCTTCCTCCTCCCTTCTGCCCTGTAAGGACACAGGAAGAAGTCAGCATCTAAAAGCCAGGAAGTGGGGCTTCCCTGGTGGCGCAGTGGTTGAGAGTCCGCCTGCCGATGCAGGGGACACGGGTTCGTGCCCCGGTCCGGGAAGATCCCACATGCCGCGAAGCGGCTGGGCCCGCAGGCCATGGCCGCAGAGCCTGCGCGTCCGGTGCTCCGCAACGGGAGAGGCCACAACAGTGAGAGGCCCGCCTACTGCAAAAACAAAACAAAAAACAAAAAACAAAAAACAAAAGCCAGGAAGTGGGCCCTCACCAGAACTGTGAGAAATTAATGTTCGTTGTTTAAGCCACCCAATCTATGGTTATTTTTGTTGTAGCAGCTCAAACATACTGAG